GCCTATATTTAGCTTATTAAGGAGTCTTCTTAACTAAATCGCCTCTTTAGTTGCTTATATCTATCCTATAAATTCTGCTTTATAGGTTAATAGAGCGACAACGCTCTAGCGCTTAAACTGCTAGCTAATTGCTCCGCTCCCAATATTAAACAGGTATCCAGCTGTTAATTATCTTATATTGCGACATCCAGCCTAGTCTGCATCTATAAAACCCTTTAATATCTAGAGGTAACCTTTATATATAAGTTTAAGATCCCTTATACCTTTAAGGTACTGCAGGATGCGTTAAGCAAGCTTTATATATTATAGCCTAGGATTTGCTAGATACCGGCTTACTATAGAAACTGTATATATAATATCTCCTCTAGTTCCAAGCATAATATATATTAGAGATCCTATAATATATTAGTATTCCGCTTTTTAATTTAAAGGGCAGTTATATTCTAGGATATTCTCTAATAGTAGTAAGGTTTCTATTAGCGTGCTAATAGGAGCGCAGTTGTTAATTCTAAACTAATAAATAACCTTATTAATATAAGCTTCTTAACTTAGGTATAGTATCCTGTTCTAATAGTTTTACTAGATAAATATCCCGAGGTAGTAGCTATACAGTCTAAGGTCCGTTATTTAGAAATAGTTTCTTAGGCCTCTTTTAATCCTTTTAATTTCTGCAATACTTAGTCTAATAATTAGAAGGTTATTAATATATACTATAATATATATATTGCTTTATATAAAGATTCTAAGGTTAGCGTTAATTAGTTTAAAGCTAAGACTATATAAAAAGTTTATAAGGGTTTAATACTAAATATAAGGAGCTTGCTTTAGGCTGTAGAGTGCTTTCCGGAGTTTGCAGACCTTTAGTATACTATCCGCTATATAGTGTAGCTATTTAATATAGATTTTATAGTCTATATTACTATATAGAAAGGCTGTCTTAACGTCTATTTATTTGATTTTAAGGCCTAGAGCGGCCGCGATTATAAATAGAGCCTTATAGCTTATTAGCTTAATAATAGAGGTAAATATTTTATTATAGTTAACGCCCTCTTCTTAAGTAAAGCCCTTAACTATCTATCTACTTTTATAGTAGATAACTTCTCTATATAGTCCTTGCTTAAGCTTAAAAACCTATTTACCGCTAAAAACCCGTTAATTTCTAGAAGGGTTAATAAGCTCCTATATTTTATTCTGTTTAAGCAAGTTAGCTTTTTTAAGTATTGCCCTCTTCTATTTAGGCTAGCTTATATTATTCTTTACTTAGTAAACAGTTTTTAGTTTAAAGGGTTCTGTTTTTTCCGCAGCTACTATTAAAAATATTAGGAGTATATTGCCTTTAGGTATATTTATTAGTATAAGTTCTTCTGCGCTATTATTAGATATATCTAATACGGCCTGCGGGATACAGATTCTAAGTTTAGGGTAATATTCTAAGGCTTTTTACCTTACTCTATAAACTGGGCGATTAAGCTAGAGTTTTAGATATTATTGCTATTCTCCTAAGGCTTAGTTATATAGAGCGTTATTCTATTACTAGCCGCTATTAGGCAGTAGATTATCTTTTTCTAGAGTATCTAAAAATAACCCGAAAGTATTATTACTCCTAAAAGGCGACAAGGTCCTGTCTCCCTGCTTAGTAACTAACTGCAAGTTATTATTACTTAATTAGAACGGCGCTCCCTTTTCTAAGTTATTATTACTTAGTTAAGATAGCGTTTGCAAGTTTTTATTACTTATCTAAGGTAATATTTACGGGTTCTTAGTGCCCGCCTAAGGTAGTATTTACAAGTTTTTAGTGCCCGTATAAGGTAATATTTGCAAGTCCTTATTACTTATTTTAGAAAAGGCTTGCTCTAGTGCTGCTGCGGATATATAATATCTAAAGGCTGGCACAGATACTTGCTATATACTTACTAACGGTTGGTTTAGTAGCCCTACTATTTTACTCCCCTCTATAGTAGCAGCTATTACCTTAGGTAAGCTATATTATTTAGCTTTTATATTTTATATAATCTATATAGAGGGAGTTATAAGGGCTTTTTAGAATTTAGTATTTAGAGTTCTAATAATCCTTCTATTTTCTAGTAAAATGCGGTAGTTAGTGTTTCCCTTATAGCCTAGTAAAATATATAGCCTTATTTACAGTTTAGTTAGCTTTTTCCTTTACTTTAGTAGGATTAGGTATTCCCCTTTTAACCTAATTACTTTTAGTTATAATAAATTAGGCTTCTTACTATACTATACCTAATACAGTGTTATCTAAAGCTTTAATAAGGGCGATTAGTTAGAAAGGTATACTGCTGTTTAAGCTATCTCTGGCCAGAACTTTAATAGCAGCTTTATATATACTAGTATAGGTCCAACTCGATTATATATTATTTTATAGGCTCTTTCAGCCACGCTATTCTACTAGTGCTAGTCTACACCTGTAACCTTAGCTTAAATTAATTAAGAAAAGAGGATAAACTTTATTTCTTCTCCTACTTACTTAGCAATCTAATTAAGCTATATTTATCTATACTTTTATTTAGGGCGCTTATTATAGTTAAGAAAGAAGTGTAGCAATTTAATAACAAATCCCTGTTATTATAGTATAGGGGTAACTTTAATCTAGCCGGTTAAGTTATTAATAATAGTTAGCCAGTAGCAACTGCTATTAAGACCCTTATTAAATAGTCCTGTAATATCTATATAGAGGAGTTCTATTAGATATTCTCTTTTATAACCTAAGCAGTTATATAGCTTTTCGGTTATTCGCCCCTAAAGGCACGGATTATATAGTTTTTGCAGCTCTATATTTTAAATACTATAAGCTTGCTTTTTAAGCTATTATAAGTTTGTATTACTTAGGTAAGCTAGTTAGTTATACTAAAGGGTTAACTGTAGGCTAATATAGTAGGCTAGAAAGAAAAGGTTTATCTATAGGTTAAGTGCGTAAATACTGTAGTATTTACTTGCGGTATATAAGCTCTTCTTACTTAACTTATTGCAGATACTTACGCCCTTACTTAAAAACTTAACTTTAGCCCCGCGTTTAAGTAACTAAAGCATAGATATAAGGCTTACGTGCGCGGATAGGATAAAGAGGATATTATTAAAAATAAGCTATCTCTTTCTACCCTATATATTGCATAGTATATTTATTATGCCTACTTCTAAAAAAGATGTAGAT